TATTTGTATGCATATTTAATTGTTCCAATATGCATTTGACAATTTGGATTGCGGCATGCTCATCACATGAATTTGTGTTAAGTGTTTCACAGATCATATTGCAAGCGATCGTGCATGCAATATGATTTGCCCTCAATACAGTTGGTTACCAGATGTGTGCCACTGTGAAAAAGAATACAACTAATAAATGTATGTAAGCTATTTTTGTAAAACATTATATACGTCTAATTTGGGTTAACCAATTAGACGGTAGTAATACAAGTATCAACCAATAGAATCATTACATAAGATTCTATTGGAAATTAATTGTAAGAAACTATGTTAGACTTAAGAAGAAAATTTAAATAAAAATCAGTCTAAAAATAACGAGCAAGAAACATAGTCGTTTTATTAACAAATAAAATAATCAAACTAATAAATAAAATTCATATCATTATTACAATACTTATTGTAAATCTTCTTATAAAAGGGATTTAATAAATAAAATAGATATATTAAAGAAAAAAAAATAAAATTTGTGATTTTTAGAAAAAAAATTTGTGTGGTCGCGTGTGTCGAAGACACAAAAATACAAATTATTAGAGCTGCTATAGCAAAATATTAGTATTGCTCGAAGTCAATTTTCAGGCCCAGAGAGTCATAAAAAGACTAAAAACGTTTGGAAAAATTGTGCTGAGGACCTAAACGCTTCTAGATGATCCAATAAAACACTAGGGAAATGAAAAAAAGTAAGTTAAAGTGAATAAATTTGTACTTGTTCTTGCAAACTTGTCCTTTCAGTACAAGTGTTATTTGTTATATTAATTTTATTTAATATTACATTCTTCAACTACAAAATAAATAACATACAACTAGCAACTGGAGTAGTGAAGGCTCGCAAACTCTCGAGGGAATGGATAGAGAGGTGATAGTATTAATTTAAGAGCATGCAGTGGATGAGAATTAAGATACCCCTGAAGCAGGCATTCCGGTAAATAAAAGAAATGTTTTTTGGGTTTACATATTGGAAGTAATAATTTCTGTTTTCTCCTACAGTATCAGCAATCAGATTTCTTAAAGTTGAAACTTCTTGAGTGCACAAATTGTAGACAACAACTTTGCCTCTTTAACGCCCACACAGCAAGTGGAATCAATGCCTACTTTACCACCGAAACCCAAAAAAGAATGGCATCTGTTTGTCAGAGCTCGAAAGAGTTAACCGCCTAAATTACTGACCAAAATGCTAAGCAGAATGATATAAAAACAAACTTAAAATACATTTAAATACAGTTTTTCAATTAAAATATAAAATTTATTATATTAAAAATATATATTGTACTATATTTAGTACTGTAGGCTTTGCCCTACTTAATTCAATTGTTTATTTGTTTACTTAAAGTAATTCAATTTCGAGTAAAAATATTCTTAGCTTTTCACAAATTCTTCTGCCTAGCCAACTATTCTCATTTTTAATATTTTAATTGTTCATGTTTGCATGGCCAACTCATATTATTTCCAATATTAAATGGTGAATATGCAACCGCCCCATCACTTCCCTGGCAGTGACTGAGTCAGGCGCGATGTCACATTAAGTCAAATTTAACGCATCTTCTTGGAACCTGCACTAATTGTCCCCTTCGTGTTACATTATTGGGTTTGGTATCCATTCGATTATCTGCCATAGTTTCTGTACGTGATAGGCTTACGTCTTTATAGTCGTTTGATAAAAATGCTGCCTTTACTCGATCAACACTCACCCGCACCGATTTGCCTTTGATTAGTAAATCATACGTCTTGTCTGAACGCCTCACAACCTCATACGGTGTTTTTAATGGTGGGCGGACACTATCATCCCTCAAAAAAACGAGAGTAGCATATTGCAGTTCCTTCTGTAAGAATACCTTTTCTTTTGAGTGGTTTGATGTGGGAACTGGTCGTATATGGGACATCATCTGTCTCTTATTTTCTACGAACTCATGTTCTAGAATTTTGTCATTATTACCTTGTTCGAGAAAATCGCTCGGTAATCGCAGATTTGTCCCATATACCATTTCTGCTGGAGTTGCTTTGAGGTCTTCTTTAAAGATAATTCAAAGCGCTAACACAATCAAAGGTATTGCGTCACACCATTGATGCTTATGATTATATTTCATTGCGGTTTTCAAAGTCCGGTGAAATCGTAAACTCAAACTATTTGCTTGAGGATGACGTGGACTAGTTCGGATATGTTTGGCACGAAAGAGTTTGGCCAGTTCATTGAACAGTGCTGATTCAAACTGTCTTCCTTGATCTGTTATGATCTGCCTTGGGACGCCAAAGTGCATGATCCAACTATTAATGAGCTCTGTGGCCACCTTGCTGGCATGTATACCCTCGATAGGGACTACTGCTGGCCATCTGGTAAACCGATTGACACATGTAAGGCAATATCGGTAGCGGCCCACGATGGTGACGATGGTAGCGGCCCATTGAGGTCAATGTGAATTTCAGCGAACCGCTCACTCAGAATGTCAAAATTTAAAGTCGCTGATCTGTTATGTTGCGTGACTTTTGCTCGTTGGCACGGCAGACATAATTTAACTCGCTTCTCAATGTCTTTAGCCATGCCTGGCCATACGAAACGCTCTGCTATTTGCTGAATAGTAGCTTGCTGACCAGCATGTGTCAAATTATGTATTGAATTGAAGACGCATTGTCTCAACAGTTCAGCTACAAAAATACGCACACGATTTGATGACACATCGCATGCAATTTCCTTAGATACATTTGGAATGACTATCCATTTCAATTGAAGTGCAGATTTATTCGTATTAGACAGAAAACCATTCGTTTCAATGTCGGTTTTCTGGCTTGCTGCTAATTGGTTAAGGTCAACTAAGTCTTCGTTACTGACAGCTTTGATGCGTGTCAGAAAATAGGGTACCGGATTATTCTTGCCAGCTATATGCATAATGTCAGTTGTGAATTGACCGATGTAATCTAACTATCTCAGTTGGCGTGGCGATGCCTTTTCTGATTTCTGTCGAAATGCATACGTTATCGACAACGTCTACCTTCAATCGCATGTTTAAAATATTTAACCGAATGATAAATCGCGAGCAACTTACGGTCGTACGTGCTGTACTTGGCTTGAGTGTTCGTCAACCGCTTTGAGTAAAACCCCAAAGGCTCGAGTTGTCCGTTATTGATTTGATTTAATGCAGCGCCAACCGCTACGTTACTGGCATCCACGTGAAGTACGAGGTTTGCGTCTGGGATTGGGTGAACGATTGTTGTTGCACTAATTAAGGCTTCTTTGTGTTCCGCAAATGCGTTATCTGCATCCGCGATCCATTCAGTAACAGTTTTGTCCTGTTTTTTGTTACCTTTAGTTAAGTCTTGAAGCTGTTCCTAGATCTCTACCACTTTTGAAATAAAACGACGTTAAAAATAAATAATTGCAATGAATCGCTGTAGCTCATGCACTACCCTTGGTTTTGGAAAATTTGCAATTGTTTCAATTTTCTTGCCTGGTGGACGGATTCCTTTATGATTAATGAGATGACCAAGGAATGTTACTTCTTCCTGTGCGAACACACATTTCGCAATGTTTATATTCAGACCATGTTCCTGTAATCGTTGTAGCACGCTGCGCATATGTTGTATGTGCACGTCTATGTTATCGGATGCGATACAAATATCATCAATATAACATATGGCAAAGTTAAACCCGAAAAGAACTTGGTCCATGAACCTTTGAAATGATTGTGCTGCATTACAAAGTCCAAGTCATTACATTAAATTCATATAGGCCGAAAGGTGTGATTATTGCTGTTTTTTCTCTATCCTCTTCAGCAACCGGTATATTAAAGTATGTCTTTTCTAAATCTAATGTTGTAAAAATGTGTTTCCCATTTAGAGAATGCATGAAATCTTACATATGTGGAATGCAATCGGCCGCCACGATGAAGTCTCTACTGGTTTCGCTGTTGATTGAAACTACACGACAAGGAACATTTTTTTGCTTCCGCACCGAAACGATAGTGATAGTAACACATAGTATACGGAGCAAACGATGTCGCTTGCGATCTAAAGTTTGAGATCTCGTTCTGCTCCGTCTTTGTGCAGTTTTTATCTCCGCAACCTGCTTACTCAAAGCGTCTATGGCTCCCATGATATGATCATTTTTCTGTGTAGATGTATTGATGACATTATTCAATGACAGTCAAAGTGTGCAAAAACTCATTCAGTGTTTAGGTTACAGCCCGCACAGAAAACACATCGATGTACGTCATCATTTCGTTAAAGAATGTTACAAAAGCGGGTAGCATGCCGACCGAAGACATGCCAGCAGGTGTCCTCATGAAAGGTTTAAGCAGCGTTAAGCACTATAAATGTGTAATAGCGTTAGGTATAACAGATAGTCTTCCTACTTCGATGGGTGGTGGTGGATCGATGAATTAATATCAACTATCACATCACTGTTTCATATTCTATTTGTTCCACTTCTGTACTAAACTTGCTTATACCCTTGACAGACGGGAGCTAAATTATCATTAAGGGGCTAAATTATAATTTCTTTGCTCATTTAGCAGTTTTAAATGATCATTTATGGTCTTTAAATGGTCGAATTTTACCCAATTTATTCGTCATTTAGGTTTTTAGAAATGGTAATGCTGCATATGCAAATGAAACGAAATAAAAATTGGAACAAATTTCAAGCTGTCATTTGGTTGTCAGTTGTCAAAGTGTAAAAAGAACACATATTTGAAAACATTAGTAAATGTAAGTACTTGTTTTTATATATTTTATATTTTTTTATATATTTCATATTTCTTTTGATTTTAGATGACTGAAATTAATAAGTTGAACAGCAAATAATAATTTAGTGGAAGAGTCCTCAGTTTTTGTAAATATATTAAACAATGGATTTTATTGCAATGCAAATAGAAATGAAATTTAAATTAAATAAAACAATGTACAGTTGAAAGCATTTATTTAATTAGTATTTTAGTATTAATATTTATTCTTAATTTATTAAATTTAATTATAATAATATTTTTTAGGACTCATATGCTGAATGTCGTCTACTTGAGAGCCCAGTAGAGAATCAATTGTCAACAACATGGGACATTGAAAGAATAGAGAGCTCCCTTCAGAAGAAAGACCAGTAGCTTCTCCGGTTGATAGCGATGAAGCCTCTTGCTCTTCTGGAAAAAAAAGAAAGAAAAAAAATTACCAAATAGAAGTGATTGAGATAATGAAACAGCAAGCGGAGGTTTTTAAACAAATTCATGCTGAAAGTATGTCTTTGTTTAAAGGAGAAATAGAGAACAACAATCAAACTAACCAGGAGCTACTGTGTCTTCTAAGGGAGCAAGGGGAAAGAGGCAGCGAGTTTCTAAAGATTATGACCAATTTAATGAATACATGAATAACTATTTATTAAATTTGTATATAACTGTATATATACTGTATATAACTATTTATTAAATTTGGATATAACTATATATATTAGTTATTAGTATTAGAATAAGAATTAGTATTAAATAAACACTGTATAGAACCATTTGATAAAGTTTAATGTTGTATTTTACTTACGAAAACTTAATGCGATGGCATCTCTTATAACTTTCGCCTCCACATTATTTTCACCAGCTCTTGTTATGTATCTAGGTTGTGAAGGTGTTGTAGACGCTGCTGATTTTGCATCTCTTACCCATGTGTGCCTAACATCATCATTTTCTATTTTTGAAAAATTATGTAGCATACAACAGGCTTTTATGATGACGTTAACATTTTCCGGTGATACTTCAAAACCTCTGCCTACTTTGCGAAACCGTGCTTTCAACTGACCAAACGCATTTTCAATCACACGACGACATTTAGAAAGTCAGTAGTTGAAGTCTTTTTCTTTATTTGGCTGATTTAGTTTATAAGGGTATGGTTTCATACTGTACCGCGATAAACGGAACACCGAATCGCCAATAAGTACGACGGGTACCTGAACGCCTCCTATTACCATTGATTGTCGGGAGAAGATATCACTGAATTCATGAAATTTTTTCAATGAACTTCTTTCAAAGATATATGAGTCGTTGTTTCTTCCTGCAGACCCAATATTAATATAGGTAAATTTTGACCTGAAGAAATAAACAAAAGAAAAATAATATTCGTATACAATTATGAACTAAATTTGCAAACTTACCTATGATCGCAACATGCGAGCAAAACCACGGAATACCAACCCTTGTAATTATAACAGTCAACGGCTTCTTCCCTCCGCGAATCTCTATATGACAGCCATCTGTTAAATAAAAGATTAGATGTACTAATAATGTCTTATTAATTTATCAATTAAGTACCAACTGCTCCAAAACATTGTGGGAAACCAAGATTGCAAAAGTCGTTTACGGTTTCCTTAATTTCTACAATAGTAGGTGGGTATGACGATATGTATTTATTGAATATTTGACAAATTACGTTGCAAAAATCTAAGACAATTTCACCCACAGTACTTCTTCCAACACCAAATAAATTAGCAACTGTCCTATATTCGGCAGAAGAACCAAGTGCAAACAAACCGATAGCCACTCTTTTCTTTAGAGCAATGCAAGCTCGCATATTAGTGTCCGATTTAGCTATCGTTTGAACTTTTTCACAAATTTTTTTAAAAGATTCTCTGCTAAAACGGAAGTTTTCTTTAAATATTGTATCATCCATTGCTGGCACATCTTGTTCCCAAAAATTATTGCTGCGATCCTAAAAGAAAATTATTCAATCATTTGCATTCGCCTGACCAATTTGTCTTGTGCCAATTTCTGAAGCTAATGTTGTTCTTGCTATGAATTTAGTTTTCATAGTAAAAAGTTTATTTATAGCTTCGTGATTTTTTATTACTTTCAATAATAACAATTTTAATTTCAAATTGAACGAATGGCGTCTTTTTAACCAAATTAAACCAGTTTCTTTAATTTTTCTTGCTTATCCATTTTCAATTTAAAATTCTCTCGCTTTTTCAATAACAAAAAACATATGATACAGCAACTTCTTAATGATAATTTGTACCGTCTGTCAGGGTATTTTTAAAATGATCATTTAAAGCTGCTAAATGATAATTTAGAGTGCTTGTCTGTCAAGGGTATTAATAAAGTTTTTACTTTTCTTTATATACGTGAACATTTTTCGTCGCTTGAAATATGCAGTATACTTTAACTAAGGAAAAATTTATTATTTTATTAAATTTAAGTAGAAAATAGAATTAATTTACTATCTACATTCAACATTTATGTGTAAATGATGTAATTTGTATGAAAAATGAAAAATAAAAATCAGCCCCAAAGGCACTAATTTATTAATAACTTTTAAACTAGAGGCACCATTTTTTTCTCATATGGCTCATTTGAAAGAAGATAAAATTGCCTTTCATATAATGGAAAGTTTTGTATAGGTTGTTTGATTAACTTAGGAGCAGTGCTGCGATGAAGATAGAGATGTCATTTTCAAATATTATTATTTTAAAGCTTTGTTATTTTACCAAAAACTATGAACTAAAATGCATATAAAAATAAAAAATATGTTTGTTTTTCTAAATATAATCGCTTTTTACATATTATAGAAAACATATTCTTCAAAATAAGGAAAATAAAATTTTGTAAAAATAGGTCAGTTTGCAAAAATAATTATATCTTTAAAAGCAGAGGGACCATTTTTCTGCATATCAGCTTAATCGAAAGAGGACACTTCAAACTTTCATGTAATGTGTCCATATTTATAGATTGGTCGATTAACTTAAAAGTTATTGAGTGTCAAATTTCAGAAATTAATTTTCTTTTAAAAATTACATTTTTCTTATAAAAAGCATATCCCAGAAGTCAGAAAACAGTTAATGTATAAAAAACTTTGAATACAATACTCTAATAAGCACAATTATTTGAAAAAAATCAAAATCAGTTTAATTATTGTTGTGTATTCACAACAATGCTAATGTAAACAAAAATAAACAATAAATTATTTTAATAAACCTAAATATAACTAATGTAATATGTAATGCGATCGCACACGGAAGAACCACCGCAATGCAAGTAGAATGTTTGGTCATAGCAAGTATACAATTGCTATTTTGACACTTTTCTTTTCTGTGCTACTATTCTGCACATGTCGATATGACACACTTGAATGTGTCATAATATTTTCTAAGCATTGCCGTGGGTCAACCTTTTTAGTGCCGCCGCAATTAAACTTATTAGGAAAAATATTTGTAAATTATAGTAAAATATTTTATATAAATAGTTTGGAAAATTATTAATAAAATTCAGATTTTAAACTGAGCTCGAACAGCTTAAACAAAGTGTCATAAATTATTTTGTCTCGGTATTCTCGGATGCCTACTAATGAGCAGATATCTTCCTGCTGAATTAAAGAAAAGAAAAAATGAATTATATCGAAAGAAAGCCTGGTTCTAAAAATAATAAATTTATAATAGAACAAATTTATTATTAAATGGGAATCCTGCCATCATTTATTATTCTAATAATTTTATTATTTCATTATATTAATTATTCAAAAATTTTGTACAAAGTTGGTTAATAGATGGCATACCATCTTTGTTTGAGATTTGGCACAGCAACCAGGCGATATGGCATCACCCATTTAGTGGTTTTTGACAGCTGCAGTTTGACGTCTGGCAAACAATAATTTTTGGCTTCGTTTTTACCTTTCTTTTTTCCGTTTCCTGCTTTTACTTCTGGTTGGCGATGTGTGTACCTTATCTATCGTGGCGTGGCTGATATATATTTGATAAAATTGTGATCAAATAAAGAAACATTATATTTGCGTGAATGAAGTTATTGTCTTTTACTTTTTTCATACATTTGTTGGTGCCGAAACCCGGGAGTTTCGGTTTTTATTTAAAAATTAAATGGCGTTTTTGGCTTTGTACGAAGAAAATATGGCTGCCTTAAATAGGCGTACAGCTGCGTGGTCATCATTAAAGCGGGTAGCTGCAAAAATATTGGCGGATGACTAAGTTGAGGATGGCTTTGGCATGCACCAAGATGGTGCAACATTGCAGGCACACTTTGACAAACTACAAACTGCACATGCTGAGTTGGTGGCTTTGGCAAGAGATGATACTGAATTATGGTCTCACATCAAGTTGTGGGACGAGGTGGGGGACTTGTATAACGAGGCATGCGTTGCATTGTGGCGTGAGTTGGCCCACTGTGATGCGCAAAATACGGATGCACCTTCCAATATGGCAGGCGGTGCTGCGTCTTCCCAAGGCTTTGCAATTAAGTTGGAACGATTGGCGGTACCCAAGTTTGATGGCACGATGCGCAATTTGCTGGCATTTAAGGACACATTCGAGACATTGGTGCATTCGCAAGAGTTTCCAGAGGCATACAAGCTTGGCAAACTGCGAGAGGCTCTCCATGGTGACACAGTGGCACTTGTCGGAGGCATGTACAGTGGCGGGTATGATGAGGTATAGGCTGCACTGAAGGCTCGGTACGACAATCCGAAACAATTGGCTGAAATACACGTGACTAGGCTAATTGGCTTCAACCCACCACAGGCTAAGTCAACATCTGCGTTGCTCTCGGTGGTTGATACAGTGCGAGAGTCCTTGCGAGCGCTTGCGGTAATGAACCAACCCGTGGATCAATGGGATGCATTGGTGGTACCCATTATAATGGCCAAGTTACCAACAATTACGCAACAGGCATGGGGCATGAGCCGCACAACTAATCAAATTCCTCCTTTGGCAGATTTGCTTGCATTCTTGGAGACACGAGCTCACAGTCTATTTGGCACTGTTTGGCGAGCTATGGAGAGCAAACCAAAATCTGATGGCAAGACTGCTACACTACAATATCGTGGCACAACTCAGGTTGATCATAAAAGGGCAGGCTCACGTCTAATGAGGACAAACCTAATAGCAACCACTCCAGGCCACTGCCAGTTTTGCAATGACGCAGCGCACCAAGTAGGCAACTGCACCAGGCTATTGGCTTACTCACCAGCGGAGCGCTTCACATTGCTCAACGGCTCGAATCTTTGCTTGAATTGCTTGAAACCTGGACATTCCACTAAGGCATGTGGCTCAACTAATTGTCGCATATGCAATGGCAGGCATCACACTCTACTATGCCGAAGTTCACCAGCGCAAACTCCTCCTTTGCAAGAGTCCAAACAGCAGGCACAAACTACACCTCAGGCACCAGCGAAACCGGACCAGGCTGGCATCCCACCACGTGTGCATCAGTGACTACACCATCCAATGCAGACATTCGCTACTATAGGCAATCGGGTTATAATCTTGGCAACAGTACAAATACGCATCATGAATGGCTTTGGCGATATCGATTCGTGTCGAGCTCTATGCGATCCAGGCTCTCAGGTAAGTCTAATGAGTACACGATATTTTAATCAACTGGCTCTGCGGAAGCAGAAAGGTGCATTGCAAATACAAGGCGTTGGCAGTGGCAATCGCTCATGTACTAATGGCCGGGCAGTCTTGCGCATATTTTCCACTGTCAATGCTTCTTCTGAGTTGGATGTTGAATTCTACATCATCAACAAAATTACCTCAGCAATCCCTGTGGCTCCAATCATGGAAAACTGTTGGCAGCATTTACGCAATTTGCCTTTGGCAGACCCGAAATTTGGCGAAACTGGTGTTATAGATGCATTGTTTGGCTCAGACGTATGGGGCCAATTGTTGGCAGATGGCATAGTTCGTGGCTAACTTGATGATCCTGTGGCACAAAATACGCAATTAGGCTGGGTTGTACTCGAACCAGCCGAAGCAACCGTGCATAACTACAAGGCGGAACAATCTATGGCATTGCGTGTGGAGACGCATGATGAGCGAGTTGATGACCTTCTACACAGGCTATTTGAATTCAAAGAAATTGAAATGGCTAAAGGCGATAAACTAGCAGCAGTTGATCTTTGCGAATGCATTTTCACGAGCGCACATAAGCGTTTAGATGATGGCAGTTATTGTGTATAAATACCATTTACACCAGATGCTCCACCACTTGGCAATTCACATCAGATGGCACTCAGGCAATTTCACCAGTTGGAACGAAAATTGGCATCCAACTCAGAGCTCAGGCAAAGATATGTGGCTTTTATGCGCGAATACGAACAACTTGGCCACATGCACCCTATTCAGCATCATTCAGGCGACCCATCTCAGGCATACTACATTCCACATCATGCAGTCATGGCAAAATTCCGAGTCGTGTTCAATGCTTCCGCAAAAACATCGAATGGCATATCATTAAATGATACACAACTCGCTGGCCCCCAATACAGGATTTATTACTTAACCTTTTGCTTCGCTTCAGGCAGCATCAAAAAGCATTCACAGCTGATATGGAGACAATGTTCAGGCAAGTCAAGGTTGACGAGAGGCACAGGCAGTGGCAACAGATCCTCTGGCGGGAATCATCCGATCAGCCCATTCGCACATATCAATTGACTACCGTTACATATGGCACAACCAGTGGCACATATTTGGCTGTTTGCGCTATGCAGCAATGTGGCAGAGACAATTCTTATAAACTCTCAGATAAATTACGAGGTAAAACTGCTTTGCACAGCATCCTGAATGATTTCTACATAGATGACTATCTTAGGAGTACACCTTCTATTGGCATGGCGATTCAACTGGCGGCCGATGTCTTATCTGTTTTGGCAAACGGTCAGTTCCATCTCAGGAAATGGAAATCGAATTGCACTGAAGTCTTGGCACATCTTCTTGGCGATGCTGATCCATGTCAGCTTAATCCGCACTTGGCAGAAACTACTGTTCTTGGCTTGCACTGGGATCCACTCACCGATGAACTCT